GGGTCTCCCACGTGGGTGCCCAAGCCCTTGAGCCATCTTTCATTGCTTCCTCAGGTACATTAGTAGGGAGCTGGATCAGAAATGGAGCAGCTCGGATTCAAACCAGGACCTATATGGAATGCTGGTTTCACAGGTGGAAGATTAACCTGCTATGCCAGAGGGCCGCCCCTGATGCCAGTTTTTTAAGAGAAGGAAGGCTTCATTGGTGGCTGAGAGAATGACTTGAATCCATCTCCAGGAGTGGACCACATGTCTGGGGCTATGTGCTATGGATTGGATAGGAGCGAGCTGATGCCAGTGAGACGCGTCTGATCGGAAGAGCTTGGTATCAGGCTAGTACTATGTGATTGTGTCCTAAGCAGCTCTTCTAAGAAAGTAGGGACTTAAATAGATACACATGATTAGACTCATTGTGAAAGCCTAAGTCAGAGGAGTGGAGACCTGTGATGCCATGGCTTCTGACGCTGCAGGTGCAGAAGCTGTGGTTAGTTCACACGTCAGCATGTGTGGGCATTCACTCAGCCTGGGACTGCTAGTCCCACCTGCACAGGGCCTGATTCTATAGAGCTGTGTCAGGGAACACTGCTGCTGTAGGCCCCTGGGACACATTAGAAGAACTGCTTTCCTGGATGTTCAGCCACTCAAAAGAGGTCCAGTGAGACTGAGGCCTCAGAACCTCCTACGAATGAGTGGTCCATACTCCTCTTCGACTGCAGAAACTCCACCAGTGAGCGAGAGGCAAACAGGTGCATGGACCATCTTTCTCTTTTCCATAGACCCTGAGGAGGCCACAGAGAGGGGATTAACTGTGCAAAGTGCACCAGTAGAAGGGCGGGGCTCAGAGAAGATGGGGCGAAGACAGATAACACAAACATGAACAGGTGCCAGGCCCCAGAGCAGCACACACTTCACCGTGGCCTGCGATGTTCACGGAATGGGACGGGGCTGGAGGCTGGGCTCCCCCCCGGGCAGCCAGCACCATGCTTGTGGGAGTGTACAAGGTGCACACACCATACACCTGAACCACCTGAGCTGCCAAGGAGAGAAGATGGAGGGGAATGGAATCAGGCCAGTGTGTGGCTTGGTCCTGCAGCACTCAGCAGCTGGGCAGAGACAAGTGGCCGCAATGGGCACCAGGTACTGTGGATCATGGATTGAGGGGCAGAAGCTCAGTAGGAACAGTGACTGGAAGGGGTCTGTGCCTGCTGGAGGCCCTTGAGTGGCTGACTTTTTTATTTTAAAAAGAGGGCATGGGGAGGATCCTTCAGCAAACACAGCACTGGTTTTCCAATCATAGACAAGTTCATGGAAAGGGCATGTTGCAGAAAATCTATGCTTGATTGTTTCTTTTTTTTTTTTTTCTTTTCCTCAACGTAAAACCATCTGATTGTGTTTGCCCATGAACATTTTCAAGTTGCTCATATGACTGCCTGTGAACAGCCACAATGGAAATGTTTTGCTTCTTGTCCATGTTAAATTGTGTGGGCCCGAGCTGTAAGATGGTGAGGTGTAAGGCACAGCTTGGAGCTCTAGGACTGCCTGGCCGTGGTCAGGGGAGGGGGCAGGCATTATAGCCCAGCAGGTTAAGGCATAACCTGTGGCACTGGCATCCCATGTAGACCTCAGTTTGAGTCTCAGCTGCTCCAGTTCTGATCCAGCTCCCTGCCAATTCACCTGGGAAAGCAGCAGAGAGTGGCTCAAGTTCTTGAGCCTCTGCCACCTACATGGGAGACCCAGATGAAGTTTCTGGCTCCTACATTATAGCCAATTGGGGAGTGAACCTGTGGATGGAAGATGTCCCATTCTGCCTTTCAAAAAATGAGTCTCAGAAGGAAAAAGAAGCAAAGAATAAATAATTGTTTCAAACAGACCAGTTGGGGGTGGGGAGGGAGAGACATGGAAGGTGGAGCTGCTGGTGGTGGGGTGGTGCCTGCGGGCAGCCCCACCCTCCCAGCACCTTGCTCCCACTCCCAGGTGCCCCCTCCTTCTTGGTGGATGGAGCCGTAGCACAGCAGGGAACCTCTCCCACTCTGGGCTTCTCTGCTTGCTTTACTCCCAGCTCCGCTCTCCCTGTGAGGCGAGGCAGGGAGCAGGGGATCCGGCATCCCACAGGCCACATGCTGTGGCCACCTCAGATCCCAGTCTGGGCCTCTAGGAAGCTCTGTTGGGGTGGGGAGCACCTCCAGGAACGTGTCTGTGACATAAAGGAACCCCAGCCTCCCCTCTCCGGCTTCCTTTTGGGACTGCTCTATACAAGGCACCAACCTTGACCCTAGCTGGGCTAGGCTGGGATGAGAAGCAGCCAAGTGTAAGATGCAAGTGGCAAAACCTCTGGTCCTCACTGGGAGAAAGCACTGTACCGTGAAACTGAAATTTCTAGAATCTCTTTCTTGTCGGGGATTGAACAAAAGCAAATCACTGACAAGTGTTTGCCCAGTGTTTCTCAGGGAGGAAGCTGGCTGTGGCCTCCACAGGCTGAGGCCAAGCCGGCGCCCCCTCTCGCCGTCTCCCTCTCCCTTCCCATCTCCCTCTGTAAACATGGCTGGCAGACTCTGCCCATGGATGGGGAGAAGTACCATTCAGGAGATGTGAGTCAGCTGGGGCCTCAGGGAGGTGAATCACGCCGGGCAGCTTGGTGTCGTTCACCTCATCCCTTCCCAATCTTTTCCTCCCTTCTAATTAAGCCGCGATGGGTCTCTGTAGCGGGAGGGAAGAGAGTGAGGTTAATGGCCCTGTGTTTGTGCACATTGAGGGGCAAAATGGATAAGAGAGACCCATTTCCCATTTGGCAAAGCACTAACGCAGCGGCAGGAGGCCTGTGGTGTGGGAGAAGCGCTGGTCCTCTGCAGGGGCTGCTGACAGGTGGCCCAGCACCTTGCCTTGCCCATATTCCCATATGAACGTGCTGGTTCATGACGCCCACTCCTGACCTGCCTGCTGAGAACATGTGAGGACTGCGTCTTGATTGCGTCACCACTAGACACAGTTCTTGAGTCACTGGGTGCAGGTGGGACCGGGGAGAGGCCTGCCCGTGGAGGCAGCACACAGGGTGGTCTGCCAGCAGCAGGATCCAGCGTTACAGCCACTGGTGGAGTGGCTGTCTCTGCCTGCAGCCTCCCCACCCTGTCCCCTGGGCTGGCTGGCCACATCCCTGATGCCTCCTGGGTCTTATGGGGAAGTCCTGGGCAGGTGAGGTTGAGCGCTGTGTGCTTCCTGTCTGCCCCCATGTGCCACACTGTGCCACTGCCTGGGCACTGGTCACTTGGCAGTCCCAGAAGATGACTCGTGCTGTCCTGGGTTAGGATGACCGCTGCAGGTGACTGTGTCAGCTGTGGGCCTGCTGCCTCACTTCTCAGCAGCTCTCTCAGGGGCCTGTGGATGCACACTAGTTTTTATCAACGATAAAATGGAGGCTTGGAGAAGCAAGGGGCCTGGTATCCAAGGACACTTGAGAAAGTCCATTGGAATGGAATAAAAAGCAAAGTTTAGGACTGCCATCATGGCTCAACTGGCTAATCTTTCAACTACAAACACCTGCAACCCATGTGGGCGTCAGTTCATGTCCTGGCTGCTGTATTTTCCATCTAGCTCTCTGCTTGTGGCCTGGGAAAGCAGAGGAAGATGGCCCAAAGCCTTTGGACCCTCTACCTGTATAGGAGACCTGGAGGGGGCTCCTGGCTTTGGATTAGTTCAGTACCAGCCATTGTAGCCATTTGGGGAATGAACGAGTAGATGAAAGATCTCTTTCTCTCTCCTTCTCTGTATATCTGCCTTTCCAATAGTAATAAATAAGTCCTTAAAAATAAAAGAAGAGCAAAGTTTATTTTTGTGCAAAGAAACTACTATAACCCATACATATGAAGGATTTTCGAGAAGGTCACGGAAAAATGTGTATTGCAAAAGAACTAGGCCTTCATGCCAGCACATTTTGCACCAAAATAAACTTTTAAAAATATGTTTAAGAGTAGAGAGAGAGAGAGACACGTTTGCAGAGAAAGAGCTCCTGTCTACTGGTACTGGATCAGGCTGACATCAAGATGTGGGAATCCAATCCAAGCCTTCCGCCTTCATGGCAGGGACGAAGGTGTGTCTTAGCAGGAAGCTGTAGTAAGGAGGCAGGATGGATCAAACTCAGGCACGGTGATACAGGACACACTGTTGGGAAGGACGTATTGTAAGCCAAATGCCTATCCCTAAACTTATCTTCTAATTCCCTTTTCCATGAACTTTCTGAAGTTCCCTGGTGGCAACCAGTCAAGGCCTTCAGAGCCCAGCTGCCTGCTAATCAACAACAGCTCCCCTCCAGTAAGCAGGGCTCAATAACAACAGATCCAATAGCACCCTTTTTCACACAGCGCTCCTGGGTGAGCAAGGCTGTGTCAAACACAATGGGGGATAGAGGGTAGGGTTTAAAACAGCCCTCCCTCTCTGGGGCCTATGTCCTCCCCTCATCACAGCAGGACCTCAACTCCTTTGCTCATGGACCAGAGGCGGAGAGGCCTGGGCCAAATTCAATAAGTTGTCCTTCCTAGGGCACAACCACCAATTCCAACAGTTCCCTCCAGAAGCAGAAAGAAAAGAAATTTTATGTGGGAGTTGACACGTTTGGGGACCAAGTGAAGCCATAGTGAGATGTGAGGATGCATCGGAAAGTGTGTGGAGAAGCAGAATTAGCAGGGAAGTTGGGGACCAAGCATGTTGGAAAGCCTTGCAAAGGTTTTCCACCGACATTGGGAAGACACATGCCCCCTCGCACGGGAGGTCCCCTCCTTACTTTGCCTCCAAACCTTCACTGCTGGGAGCCTGCAGCTGGGGAGCCCCATTCAAGGCCCTGGACAGCTCTGTAGGGTCAGCGTAGGACTGAAGAGATCCCACCATTCGCCATCTCTGTGCACGTCAGCCCAAGGGAAAACTCACTGTGTGGGTGGGTGCCTGGGATCCTGCCTGCTGGGGTCTCCATGGATGCCCTTGTTCAACTTCCCACTTTCTTCCTTCCCCAGGTGTTGACTTTAAGATGAAGACCATCGAGGTGGACGGCATCAAAGTGCGGATCCAGATCTGGTGAGTTGAGCAGGAGTGGGGGGCCCTGCCCCTCTTTGGCTGTGATATCCCTGGGATGCCTGGAACGCTACAAGGGACCAAGTCTGCTCCCATGTGCTGTGTAGGTTAGACCACAAGTCACCAGAAAGGAGAAATCAGAAGCAAATGGGAAACTAAACCCTGTGCATTGGTCTTAGGATTAGGTTGTACTCTTGGCCTGGAGACAGACAGACAGACAGACAGACAGACACACACACACACACACACACACACACACACACACACACACACACACACACACACACACACACACACACACACACACACACACGCACACACACACGCACACACACACGCGCGCGCGCGCGCGCGCACGCGCGCGCGCGTCTACGTGGGACCCTGGTGAATAGTCCTCAGTACATGTGGATATAGTTTCCACAAGGAGCCACAGGGGGCCGCTGTGGCGCTCCCGAGCGGAGTACCTGCAGATACCACCCATGACAGTGATCCGAGCTGTCCCCAACCCTAGAATCCCAGGGAGGACGTTGCACTGTGTCCCACAGGAACAGGAGCCAAGCCGCACCTTCCCATCTGACCACAGCAGGGCCCCCACGGCCACACTCCAGAGAGCTGTTACGGGCTCAGTTATGCCGTGGTCCCTAAGCAGCAGACGCAACCTGATTATCTTTCATTGAGAAAAGTTGTGGGTTAGGGATTTGGTGGGATCATGGAATATTTAATTCTACAAACGTGTTTCAAAGCCTTAGATAACTTGAGGAGGAGACCCCAGTGTAAAGGGGATTCATCTGTGTTGTGTCATATACATTGTATCCACGTGGCCTGAAAGGAATGCTAAATGACTTTGTGCATGAAGCCGAGTTTCACAGTGTGGAATTTTCCATTCATGGCATCTTGTCGGTGCCTGGGACACTTTGCATTTTGGAGCATGCTGGGTGTTTGGGTTAGAGGTAGGTATTGGTCCTGTGTGGAGTGCTCATGGCCAGGTCTCTCCTTACAAAGTCAGGTGTGTTTGCACCCTATAGGGGGTCAAGGGCACCAGGGAGCTCTCTTCTGCCTCTCCCCAGTTTGTCCTGCAACTGTTTTACTCATCCCTGCCTGCGGCCATCTGTGGTCCCTGCTCCCCTGACAGACTGGCTTTCTCTTGCAGGGACACAGCGGGGCAGGAGAGATACCAGACCATCACCAAGCAGTACTACAGAAGGGCCCAGGTGAGCATAGGGGTACAGAGGCAGGGAGCTGTCACCAACCCCCAAAACTGCTTGCCGTGAAGAGGAACCCTCAAGGTAGTTTCTCACGGATGGTCCCTTCCTTAGTTATTCATAGACCACTTGATATAGGCAGACCCTGTACTGTCTCCCTACCCGCACCCCAACTTCTCACTGCTACTGGGGGCCAAATATCTGATCAACCTCAGCTGTGGGCCTGGGAGATCCACTGAGGGAGCCTGAGGGACGAGGAAGCTTCCGGATGCTGAGGTCCTCCTTTGACTAAGCAGGGAGAAAGCAGGTGTATCAGCCCTGAGACCCTCCAGTTCTGTCCATCTCCCCAGCACTTACTCTCTCTCTCTTTCTCTCTCTCTCTCTCTCTCAGGGTATATTTTTGGTCTATGACATCAGCAGCGAGCGGTCTTACCAACACATCATGAAATGGGTCAGCGATGTGGACGAGGTAGGAGGAGCCGCTTCCAGGCAGGGATGGGGCGAGGACAGAATGAGGGCGTGTGGGATGGGTTGGGGAGAGGGTTCTACCAGGAGGCCTTACCATCTGCAGCCCTGGAGAAAGACCCTGAGGGCACCACTGCACCAGGCACCACGGCTGGGACTTTCCGAGCTTGCTGTAAGGGTGTGTGTGTGTGTGTGTGGGAGGACAGGCTGCTTGGCACATCAGCTGGGAGTCACGGGTGTGGTCCTCGCCTTCTTAGCTGTAGAGTGAAGGCTGGGCATAAGTCCAGGGTCTTTCCAGCTCAGGGTCCAGCTGTCCACCCCAAGGAGGCACCACTGTTAGCCAGTGTCCCCTCTGCTAAGCTTCCCCTGTGACACTCCTGGGTGTGGTCATGGTTCAGTAGAAACCCCTTGTCTGGGTCTCATTCATGCACCCAACGATGATTCTGAACCCTGTATGTATATGTATGCATTATGTGTGTGTCCTGTGTTTTTCCTACACATTCTCCACACCTGTGATGAAGTTTACAGTGAAGGATGAACAACAATAAAAAATACAAAACAGAAGGGACATGACAATATACTGTAACAGAAGTTACACAGACTGAGGCCCGGCGTGGTGGCCTAGTGGCTAAAGTCCTCATCTTGAATGCACCGGGATCCCATATGGGCGCCAGTTCTAATCCCAGCAGCCCTGCTTCCCATCCAGCTCCCTGCCTGTGGCCTGGGAGAGCAGTTGAGGAGCTCCTGGCTCCTGGCTTCAGACTGGCTGAGCTCCTGGCTTCAGATTGGCTGTTGTGGTCACTTGGGGAGTGAATCATCGGATGGAAGATCTTCCTCTCTGTCTCTCCTCCTCTCTCTATATATATCTGACTTTGCAATAAAAATAAATGAATCCATTTTTTTAAAAAGAAGTTATATAAACTTTATGAATGGTTTATTTCTGAAATTTTTTCTAATTAATTTTTTTATTTTTAAAAGATACATTTATTTTTTACTTAAAAGGCAGAACCTCAGAAAAGAGGGACAGAGAAAGAGAGAGACGGAGAGAATCTTCCATTTGCTAGTTCACTCCCCAGATGACTGCAACAACCAGAGCTAGGCCAGTCCAAAGCTAAGAGCCAGGAGCTTCTGGGTCTCCCACGTGGGTGAAGGGTCCCAAGGACTTGTGCCATCTTGGGTTGCTTTTCAGGCACATTTTCAGAAAGCTGGATTAGAAATGGAGCAGTTGGGACTTGAACCGGCACCCATATGGGTCACTGGCACAGCAGGTGGAGGATTAACTTGCTATGTCACAACACCAGCCCCTTCCTTTCCCTTTTTTTGGCTGTTTCCTTTTAATTTCAATTATAATAGATGCTGTATAACTGCAATTAAAAATAAGTAAATAAGTTCATAAAAATGGAGCCACTAGCAAGGAGCATTGTACCCGGGAGAGCCCAGCACCTGGATCCCAGCAGCCCATGCTGTCCCCGGGCTATGGATCAGTGTGAGGGTTGCCCTTACTGCAGCTGAGTTCTTTCTGCCCTGTCCCCAGTACGCCCCGGAAGGTGTCCAGAAGATCCTGATCGGGAATAAGGCAGACGAAGAGCAGAAACGGCAGGTGGGCCGAGAGCAGGGGCAGCAGGTAAGCAGAGCCCATCTGGCATCTTCCGGGACACGTCTGTGCTGGCCCTGAGAACTGGGGACCCAGGAGCCCACTGGGGCCAGGGCTCATGGCACCTACAGGTGTGCTGTGTCTCTGAGAGGGAGCTGGGTGCCCCGCAGGACAGCGACTCCAGCTCCATGGAAAACAAACACCGTGGAGGAGGAGGGGGGACTTGAGGTGCCAACTCCATTTACTTAAGGGCGTCCAAGCAGAGCGACCAGACCCCACTACATACTACCCCTCACCTCCCAGAAGGGCTGTGTGGGTGAGGGGCGGTGGAGGGAAGGGGGTTGCTGAGAGCAAGCCCAAGAGCACAGGAAGCTCCTGTTCCCCCGGGGACCAGGCAGAAAACAGGATACCCCACACTGCACCTCCGAGGGCTCTGGACTTGCTCTGTCCCTCTTGGGTCAATAGCAGCCCATTGGCACTTGAAGTCCTACTGACCTGTCCGCTGTCAAAGAAGACAGGTGGTCCCAGAAAAGCATGGATGCAGAGGCCTACCCTGATGGGAGAACAGCCTGCAGGAAGGAGCCAAGCCACAACCTGGGGGCACAGACATCCTCCCACCTTCCCCATTCACAGAAGCGAGCCACAGCTTGCCCAAGCTGGTCCACACAGAGCAGCAGCCTGGGCCCCCAGGTTGGGTTTACCAGGCTGCATAGCATTCATCAGCTGCCACGTTGTCCCCAAGGCTAGGTACCTTTGTCCCCCTGCTGTGTGATGTCCTGTTTGTGGTGGCCAGAGGGTGTGTTGGCGCCTGACCCCTCCCTCCTTCTCAGAACCATCCCTCTCTCTTGCAGCTGGCACGGGAGTATGGCATGGACTTCTATGAAACAAGTGCCTGCACCAACCTCAACATTAAAGAGGTGAGCGTCAGGGGGGCCAGCTGGCCATGGCCTTGTTCAGCGTGGTACTCCAGGTCAGGGGTGGGGTGAGGAGGAAGTGGCTGGGGAGAGCTAATGGGTCAGACATGGCACAGCCAGGAGGGGTCGGCAGAAGAGACTGGGCTAACCCCATGACCCTCTGTCACGCAGTCCTTCACGCGGCTGACCGAGCTGGTGCTGCAGGCGCACAGGAAGGAGCTGGATGGGCTGCGGACGCGGGCCAGCCACGAACTGGCCTTGATGGAGCCGGAGGAGGAGGAGGGCAAGCCCGATGGCTCAGCGAACTCTTCTAAAACCTGCTGGTGCTGAGGGTCATGCCTGGGGCCGCCCCACACCACACACCCCGTTCCCTCAGGAGGTCTATGGGCAGCCAGGGAGGCCAGGCCCTGACCCGCTGCTGGCCTCTCATTCGATGACCCTGTTGAGCATCAGTAGCTGCTCCTCCCCTGCCTGGCCCTGATGGGCGGCACTTCGTCCCCAGCTGGCCTCAGGCCTGCTCTGACCTGACCTCGTGCTCTGGGCATCTCATTGCCCCCAGTACCCCAGGCTGGGCCCAAGGTGCGGTCAGGGCTGCTTTAAAGCGCCTCCACGTCTGCTCCCTGCTCCCTCTCTCTGGCCCCCCTCTTGCTGTGGCCCCTTTCCTCCTGTGTGTTCTGGGTCAAGGCCCCTCCCCACAACATGTCCTGCTGTGGGTGACTGCAGCTGCAGCACCCCATTTTAGCCCTATCCAAGGGAATGGACGTAGGCTCTGGGAGGTGACCCACCACTCTGCTCTGGAGTGAGCCCCTAGCTTTGAGGGTTGTGGGGAGCTGAAGGTTTCAGGGTATCTCTTCCTCCTCTCCTCCCCACTTCCCCTGCTGTGCCATGGGGAGAAGGAGCAACATCAGGAGGACATGCCACCTGCTGGGCCTCAAGCCCGGGGGTCCGTCCATCCTACCTCCACCTGCTCCCCAACCTGAGCTCCGCCTTGCTCGGCTGCCTGCCTGCCTCCCTGTACGTGGACTGTGCTTGGAGGCAGGTGCTTCAGAGGACACAATGGCGAGGGGTGCCGAGGGGTCACCTCCATTCTCTACCTCCCGTGTGGCAGGTATATAGCTCCTCCCCAACCCTGCCCAGAATTTATAGATATGGACCAAAGCCCGAGGGGACTGCAGGAATGAGGAGAGGCCTGGGCCCAGGAGACTGTCAGGTAGCTGTGCGCTGTGAACAGAGGACCAGCTCCTAGGTGACAAGGGCGGGGCGGAGTGGGCCACAGTGGGTCTTTCGCAAGGCCACAGGGCATCCAGCCCCATCATTCTCTTCCTCAGGTTAGGAGAGCCCTCTGTGGACTTTCCTCCCTGGCAGAGGTTAGAGGTCATGTAGTCAAACCAGTCTTCTCTCACCGATTCCAGTCTCCCAGTTTTAAGGTTTTCCTGGGAAGAGGGAAAGACTTTCTGGAAAGAGAGAGAGAGCCACTCAGAGCAGAAGTGCTTGGTGCTGTGATGTTAGCCTTCAAGGCCAGGTGCCCACCTCTTCTGCTCGCTGAGTGCTGGCCCACTGTGCTGTGGCTACCAGTGATGGGGAAGGAGAGAAGAGGACTCCTCTCCCAGAGTCTGACATTCTGGAAGCTTCTTAAACCCCCCAGGACCTGAGAGTAGCTGGAAGAAGCCCCTTCTTTCCCATCCCAGGGTGCAAGGAGCAAGGGGTGAGAGGATGCAGAAGGATGAGGGCAGGTGCCAAGTACAACACCTGGGGCTCAGAGCAACCTCCAGCCAAGGACCCACACCCCAGAACACACACGTGTGCAAGAGAGGCACCTCCTCCGGGACTCCTCCAGAAAAGGGGGCAGGGGTCACTTTGCCAGCCTTTCCTCCTGACTTTGTCAAGCTAGGAGACCGGCAGCAGGAGAAGGCATGGGCAGGGAAGCATTGCAGAGGGCCAGGAGCAGCTGGTGAGAGAGTTGGAGAATGAGCTGTGCACCATGCAGCTGGGGTCGCTCCATGAGGACTGGCTGACCGGGTACCCAGGCCTCTGCTGTGTCACAGGGGGTGATGCCACCCTGCCCTCACGTGGCCTTTCCTTGAGGGAGGCAGCAGAAAGGGTGTGGCTCACTCCGGGCGATGAGGGTGGGGCGGAATGCAGGCTTTCCCCAGAGATGGGGCAGAGCCTGTTGTCTTTCTCTCCTAACTTCCGCCTCCTCCAAGAAGAGGGACTGTATTTTTCTGTACCCTCAGGGTTCTTGGAAATGAAAACATTGGGTAGGGATGCTGTGGACACATGAGCCCTCTCCATGAGGGCTGCCGCTGGTAACCAGACGGTTGGCATTCGGGGGATGCAGCTGTTCTTATTAGGCATGGGAGTGGGCCTTGTGTCACCCCAATCTCCAGTCCAGGAGCGGGGTCTGGGCCCAGACTGGTGAGCAGGCTCCTGGACTGCATCTTCGCCATCACCTCTGCACCTGCTGTCTTGAGAGTTCAGCCAGCCCCCCAGGCACGCCACCTGCTCCCGAGCCCCTACCATCTTCCCTGGAATGGGTGAACTTTGCGTGCCATGTCTTGGGCCCCTTATAGGAGTTGTGAGCAGGGTTCATCTATTTTAAACACAGATGTTTACAAAATAAAGGATATTTCAAACCACAGGTTTGGCTCCAGGACGAGTCTTTGGGAGCAGTCTGGCCCTGGAGCCTGCCGGTGACAGAGGAGCAGGGAGGGAGGCTGGCAGAAGAGGCCCCAGATCTTCTAAGTGACAGCAGGTTATAATCAATGCTGTCCTGTGTGGGGGCCTTAAGGGTTGCCACCTGTAGAGGCCACTCAAGGCTCCCACAGCCCTGCAGCGGATGGCACTGCACTAAGAAGGTTCCAGCACTGGGAGGATGGTGGGGGGGCTGGTGCCTGAAGGGCTCTGTCAGGCCTACATGTGTATCTGTTCGGGATGGAGCCCCAGTAGTCCTCCTGCAGGCGTGAGGAAGGAGGCATCACCATTTAAGATTTGTGATTGCTACTTCCTTGGCAAAGAGGCCCAGACAAGGATCTCAGGGCCCTGTGGGAACAAAGGGCCTTCGTGAAATGCAATGGAAAGCTAAGTTGGTTTTGGTGCTGAAGATGAACGTGTATACATGAGAGATCTTGGAGAAGTTCACGGAGGAGTGCGGCCTGGACCTAGTGCTGAAGACACTGCCAGGGTTGCCACGTTCCACATCCAGGTGCCCGGGTCAGCTCCTGGCTCCAGCAGTGGACCCTGGCTCTGGAGCTCACACATACCCTGGGAGGCAGTGCTGCTGACCCACATGATTGGTCCCTGCCATCCACGTGGGAGGCTGGATTTGGGTTCCTGTCTCCTGCCTTCCTCCTCCTCCTCCACAACAATCATTACAGACATTTGGGGGAAGAATCCAGGAAAGGAGAGCTTGTTCTGCTTGGGTCTATACATCTCTGCCTCTCACTTTTGTTTAAAAAGTTCAGGGGACATGCAAATTATTTAAAAAGAAAGCTATGCATGGACTTCGATCTTTTTGCATAAAATAAACATTCTAAGCCCACATGATGGTTCAATTGACTAATCCTCCCCTTGCAAGCACCAGGATCCCATATGAGTGCCAGTTCATGTCCTGGCTGCTCCACTTCCATCCAGCTCCCTACTTGTGGCCTGGGAAAGCAGTCGAGGACAGCCCAAAGCCTTGGGCCCCTGCACCCACATGGGAGACCCGGAAAAGGCTCCTGACTCTTAGCTTCAGATCAGCTCAGCTCTGCCACTGCAACCATTTGGGGAGTGAACCAGTGGACAAAAGATCTTTGTCTCTCCTCTCTGTAAATGTGCCTTTCCAATAAAAATAAATCAATCATTAAAAAAACAAAATAGACATTCTATAATCCATTTTCTGTGCATTTTTGTAAATCCCTCAAGTACTCAAGAACTTGATGGGGCAGAGGATGGAGTGAGGATGGAAGGAAGAAGGAGGGACTAAACGAGACAGGGCGGTAGCTGTCTGAAGATCTTATCTACTGTTCACAGTCTTAACGAACACCGGTGACACTCAATCTTCTCTGATCCCAGCAATCACTGTCAGATAGGGAGGCCAGCTATCCGTGGTCCACAGATAAGGGAACAGGTGCACGGGATACTTAAAGCATGACTGCTGGGCTGAGGGCTGCAAACCACGGGAGAGTAAAGCTTTGGCAGCTCTGCTTTCAAAAAATTTTTGTGAGAGAAACCCACCCAGCTGGGTGCTCAGCCTGCTGAGCCCATGCGGTGTGCACAGGGAACCATTGCCCTGCAGAAAACCCTGGCAATCAGTGTCAGCACGAGTCCAAAGTTGAAGGCTTCTGGAAAGCACTCAGCTTGAGGTTGAGTTAGAATGAATGCATTCTAAGAGCCTCACCACTTCTGTGCAAGGGAAGGGCCCCACAAGTCTACCACGGACCATCCCCTCCTCACCTCTATGCCCCACCCCAGCGCATGGACTTCTCTGGCCTTCCTAAAGGGATTATAAAAGGATAGTCAAACAGAGAGGTTCCAGGAACCCACTGAGCACTGAGAAATCCTCTAACTGCACAGAGCAACCTGGCAGGTCCGTGTCATCGGTCAGTGCCAAGTCCTTACAATTCAGGAGCCAAGAACGGATGCTGGCCGGCTGCCGCCAGGAAGTCCACCAGCCTCAGCGGAGAACAAGCCTTCACCCTGCACTTCTCGCAGGCAAAAGATTCTAGTGCCACTCAGATCATGGAAGCCTGTTTTGGGGTGAAGCCAGCGGAAGCTTCCTGGTTCCTACACACTCACACAAACCTTGGAACCGGTGACAAGTAAGAGCCACTGGGCACAAGCCCCAGAGGGTAGACATCTCTGTCTCCCTAACCAGTCAGACCCTCAGGTGCAGCTGCCCTTCAGCCTTGCTTCATTTTTCGCTCCAGAAGAGCGTTCCCAACCAATGCACCTGTTGACAACGCTCCCTAAGGAATATACACTTGCTTACCGGAATTTGTCTCTGAAACCCCAGTGCCAGGGGAAACCTGACTGCGACTTTTGTTTCAGTGAAGTGTTGAGTTGTTGGGGGTTTGGGCTAGTTGCCAGGGATGGGCTTCCATGGGCACCCTCTGAGAGTCCTGAGCTGAGGCTTGTTCTGCAAATGGCACAGGTGCCTGGCTGGGCCTCGGACCCCAGCAGTTCCCCTTCTGCATACTTCCTCCCATTGGGGGAGGACTGATACAGGCCCCCTCTGCAAAGCCTTGCGGACTGAGCCTGTGCGAGGACACAGGTGCTGCTGATTGGGTCTGAGCTCCCCCACCTGTCCCAGGAGCCCCTCCCTCTTCTCATAGCAAGGACCACATGCTGGCGACTTTGGGGTGGGGAAGAGGTGGCGGTGGGGGCTGTAGCACAGGAATGGTTCAATACAACAGCAAGGCTTCAAGACAAACAGCTTCCTTTTGCACCTGGTGGATGCTAGTGCACTGAGAGCCACTTGTTTATGTATTTATTTATTTGAAAGACAGAGAGGGATGTGAAGAGAAAGAAAGCAGAGGGAGAGAGAGGGGGAGAGAGAGAAACAGAGAGAGATCTATTTTCCAATTCATTCTCCAGAAAGCTGCTATGGCCAGGGCTGAGCCAAGGCAACACCAGGACTCTGGTTGTAAGGGCCCAAGCACTTTCTTCCACTGCTTTCCCAGGCCACTCAGCAGAGAGCTGAATCAGAAGTAGAACAGATGAGAGGAGATGAGGTCCTCATTTGGGATGAGGGCATTGTAGGCAGTGGCTTCCTGCAGGTGGCTCTCTGTGTGCTGGTGGGCAGTTGGGCAGCAGCGCGTCTCTCTCGGCTGACCTCTGAGACAGGGGTACAGGAATTCCCATTCTCTCCCTCATCCTTCAGAACGCAGCAGACTCCGCTGGCTCACCGTGCCACTCACAGATTGGCACTGTGCAAACGGGTTCCCTGCAGGTCTGTTGCCAAGTGGAAAAATGACTTGCTGGGGCAAGTGGGAGTCAATCCTGTTGCTACCTTCCACTGTTTTCCTCCCCCGTTTGACCTTTAGGGCTCGGGTTTCCTGCAAGTGGGTAGTGAATTATTCACATCTGCATACAGGTATCAGGCCAGGGCGCCAACAGGGCGGGGCGGGGTGGGGCGGGCAGCATCCTTGATCCGCCTATAAATAGCAAGCACGCCCTCCTGGTTCCAGGTTCCCCCGGCACTTACAGGTGGGTTCCTGTTTTTTGTTAAGTCATCCAGGCAACTTGTCTCAAGGACCCGTTCTCTGCTCCTTCCTGACGCTTCCTTCCTCCAGCCCCTGGGACAGACCCTGAAGAGGGCTCCCCGTGACCCCGCTCCCTGCCCCCTGCCGCACTCCAGAGCTCACTTCGCGCCTCACCATGGCCTACATCGCCAAGTCCTTCTACGACCTGACCGCCATCAGCCTGGACGGGGAGAAGGTAGATTTCAACACGTTCCGAGGCAGGGCGGTGCTAATTGAGAACGTGGCCTCTCTCTGAGGCACCACCAGCCGGGACTTCACCCAGCTCAACGAGCTGCAATGCCGCTTCCCCAGGCGCCTGGTGGTACTTGGCTTTCCTTGCAACCAGTTTGGACATCAGGTGAGAGGCTCCTGTGTGGCATCTTCAGAGATGCCCTGATAAAGCCCCAGGGGGCTAAGGCAAGAGAGTGGGTGACTGGGTGTGCTGGAGTGGATGAAATTATGGGGTACGCTTGGTTCCTCTAGGTCTTTATTTTTGAGGGTGTATTTACTTTTGATTTAGAAGGCAGAGTTGCAAAGGAAGACAGATATAGAGAAAGGAATCTTCCAATTGTTGGTTCATTCTTCAAATAGGTGCCATGGCTGGAGCTGGGCTGGTCTGAAGCCAGGAACCTGGAGCTTCTTCTGGATCTGCCATATGGGTGGCAGAGTCCCAGGGACTTGCATCACCTATTGCTGCTTTCCCAGGCCATTAAGGGAGCTGGACTAGAACTGGAGTAGTTGGACTCCGATTGGTTCCCATATGGGATGCAAGTTCCACAGGCAGAGGTTTAACCCACTATACCACAGGGACCCAAACACTTGAACCATCACCTGCTGTCTCCCGGGGTGCATTAGCAGGAAGCAGCATCAGAAGCAGAGCTGGGACTCGAACCCAGGCATTCTGGGATAGAGGCATCCCAAGAGGTGATTTAACCAGCTGTGTCACAATGCCAGCCACAATCTAGATCTTTAAGTTCACATAAAATATTAAAAAGGAGGGCCCAACATGGTAGCCTAGTGGCTACAGTCCTCACCTTGTAAGCACTGGGATCCCATATAGTGATCAATTTTTGTTCCAGCTGTTCCATTTCCCATCCAGCTCCCTGCTTGTGGCCTGGAAAGCAGTCCAGGATGGCCCAAAGCCTTGGGACCCTGCACCTACATGGGAGACCTAGAGGAGGCTCCTGGCTCCTGGCTTCAGATCAGCTCAACTCTGACTGTTGTGGCCACTTGGGGAGTGAACCAGTGGACAAAAGATCTCTGTCTCTCCTTCTCTCTGTGAATCTGCCTTTCCAAAATAAATAAATAAATCGCATTTTAAAAAGCGATTAAAGGGGATAAGGATGTGTTTAAATACACAGGGTGTGTCTTTTGATTGTTTTATTGCCCTCCTGTTCCCTGCCACGAGGGCCAGTACCGGGCTGCTTTTCTCTCCCTTGTGTCCTCGCAAAATATTCATTGGGTGAATGAATGGAGGAAATGCAAGTTCAGGAACCAAACTAGGACTGACCACATGTCAGGAGACGTTCGTTCCAGCTGGACTTCAGTTCTGCTCTCCCCACGTGCTGCAGAAAAAAGCCTCTTGAGCTTTCTGGTTTAGCTTTTCCTTTTGCAAACGAGAGATCACCCACTCAGCTGAAAAGATTCATGTGCAATTTGGGGATAAGACGGTTCAAAGTTACTTGAAATCCTAAAGTTCTGTGTAACCACAAGCAACTTTATTAGAGCGAAGATTCGCTTGTCTACATGAGCCCAGTGGAAAGTGTGGCGGGAGCGAGCGTGGGGAGGAGGTTTCTGACACGCATCCCTCCTCTGGAGCCGGGTCATGCACCCTCTCGCTTCTCAAGTTTCGTTTTGAGGGCTCCTTCCGATTCCATTTGGAATTTCAACTGTCCAGGCAGCAGAATAACCTCTAAGAAGCCCAGGAATGATAATCCTAGATTCAGGACACCGTGGCAAGAAGAGAAGGAAGAAATCAGAAAGATGTACCAGGAAGGCTGAGAGAAAGGCTCCCAGCACGCCTCCCGTTTTAGGTCTCATTCTAGCCGCTTCCCGGGCAGAATGGAGAGAAAAGGCCCACGCGTGCTGCCGAGGCGTGTGTGCAGCCCTCTGCTGTCACTCAGGCTTCACGTGCTTCTGGAGGCAGCCCAGAGCCAGGCGGCTATTGCCCTAACAGATAAGAAGGCTAATAGCGATCAGTTGCGGACTCATGATGTCAGTGATGGCCTGGAACTGACTGTACTAATTGGTTCCAGTAGGTCAGAGTCAGGAGCTACCTCCCCGAGGGAGCTATCCGATTCTCAGACTCATGCGTGTTGGGGTGGGAGGAGGGAGGTGAAAGCAAGGGTTTCTCGGAGTTGGAGGGGTGGCAAGTGTTGAACAGAGACAGGATGGGGATGCCAGCAGGAAGCAAAGATGGGGAGCAGGTTCTGAGTGGAAGCGAAGTGTTTGTAGCTGAGCACAGAGTGACTACAGCACACACCAGGCTTTTTGGACAACAGCCTCAGACATGACTGCTGAGCGCATATTCCCAACTTTAAGGTCTCAAACACACACATCTTCACACAGCCCTCTTCCCCCACCTGGTCTAGAGCCAGAAGCCTTCTGTCATGTTCAGTCCACTTCTGTCCATTTCTGGTACACTCATTTGCTTTGCTTTTTATGGCACCGGCCAAGAAGGTTGCCATGGGGAGGGGGCTTGTCCTCCTTCATCAAAGCTGGCCCCTAGCGGTGCTTCCCTCCTAGGACACGGCAGGATAGGAGCCAAAAAGCTGTAAATCCCATTCCCATTTCTCCAAGAGCTGAGCAGGGCAGGAGCAAGGGCTGCTCTCAACACACAAGCAGTAGCTAGGGGAGGCCAATGCAGGGCAGAGGGAGGGCAGGGTGGGATGTGTGTGTGTCAGTCTGCCTGTACGTGTGTGGGGGTGGGTGGGGTGGGGACAACACTTTCTCTTCCGCCCTGGACTTAGTCCTAGAAACCTCGGTGAAATATCTTCAGGGCTGCTCACGATGGATTAGAGAGGAAAACCAATGGCACAAAAGTGGTAATTCCTGATGTACGAGGGCAGCTATGCTGGGAACAACAGGAATTTTGGGGAATGACCTAGCAAAGCCATCAGGCAATAGCAGTGAGAGAGAAGACTCTAAGCCTAGTATAGGACCAAGCCCAAGAAGAATGGAACTTACACACACACTCACACACAGCACCACACACACTCACACGCATGCACACACTCTCGCGTGCACACACACTCTCACACACACATTCACGCACCACACACACACACACAGCACCACACACTCACACACGTACACACTCTCACACACACCCTCACGCACAGCACCACACACTCATACACATGCACACACTCGCCTGCACACACTCACGCACAGCACCACACGCGAAGGCAGGACAGGAGGGAGCAGCGCTCTCCCTGTGCCCCCCTGTCCCACTCTTTCTGTCTTTTCTCTCTCCCAGGAGAACTGTCAGAATGAGGAGATCCTCAACAGCCTGCAGTACGTCCGCCCCGGGGGTGGGTACCAGCCCACCTTCACTCTTGTCCAGAAGTGCGAGGTCAACGGGCAGAACGAGCATCCTGTCTTCGCCTACCTGAAGGACAAACTCCCCTACCCTTACGACGACCCATTTTCCTTCATGATCGATCCCAGGTTCATCCTATGGAGCCCCGTGCGCCGCTCAGACGTGGCCTGGAACTTTGAGAAGTTCCTCATTGGGCCAGAGGGAGAGCCCTTCCGGCGCTACAGCCGCACCTTCCCCACCATCAACATCGAACCCGACATCAAGCGCCTCCTCAAGCTTGCCATATAGGCCGTGATGAGCGGCTCCTCCACCCAGCTCCTCAGCAGCCTCCCTAGGGAGACGCTGCAAGACCCAAGCTTCCGCTTGACCACAGTCCCCGTCTGCCTCCCTCATTGACCCGTTTCCATTTCCTCTCTCAAACCCTCTGTGGTGATTCAGCTTGGCTCTAAATTATTGGATGGGGTCTGGGCCTTCACAGAATGATGGCACCTCCTGAAGCCTTGTGGGTGGTGTCTGAGAAGCGTGAAGGCTCCGAGCCAGCCTGGCAGGTGAGTCCAATAAAGGACAGGTGTGGAAATGACCAGGTTCTTGGTGTCTTCTTGCTTGCTTTGGAGTGGGACCCACTGCTGTAACAGACAAAGGCTTGGCTCTGATCAAAGGAACAGCCTAATTACTGTCTGGAAAGCAGGTTCCTCGGCATTGTCAACTCAGCCTTGGCATTGGAGTTGCAGGAGGTGCAGACCATTTTGTTGCCTTATGGCTCCTCTCGGGAATGGAGGGTGGAGAGAAGGACGAAGAAGTACAGAGAAGGAAAAGACAAGCCAGCCTGCCCTTCGGTTGAAGGTCCTGGAGGGGGCTGGGAAGTTATCATCACAAATACATTCTTCTTGTTGTGGGTACGGGGTCAGCTAGAAGTCAGTTTGATCAGCTTGTACCAGTAGCAGGGCCACAGACAATGCAGCCACCGGAAATACAGGGAGCGTTTTATCCGCTTCCTGGTTGCCTTGATGACAAATACATGTTTGATCCTCCGTTAGACCAACTCCCTGCTTCTGAAAGTTCATATGCCCCACCTTACACTTCTCCAGACTCAGGCACCAGACAAACACATGGAGGAGGAGGGTTCATTTCTTCCTCAGTAAAGAGGGAGAGGAATGGAAGAGCCTGGAGTTTCCGATGCTCCTGGGAGGCTCCTGGCTCCTGGCTTGGATCAGCTCAGCTCTGGCCATTGTGTCTGTTTCTCTCGGTTTCTCCTTCTGTCTGTAAATCTGCCTTTATAATGAAAATAAATTTTAAAAGTTGGGGGGCGGTCCTGCTTGGTCATATCCGACCATAGTATAGTCAGCAACAGCCTTCATTACAAAAGGGTAACCTGAGCGGTACACTGGGACGCCCCCGTATCCTTCTGCTAAATTAAGGCTGCCTGAAGTTGATTCTTCGGGAAGCTGGACCCCTTCAGATTCCTGTGCCCCAACAGATGGGATATGAACTCATTCGGGGCAGGATTGTGCACTGATTTTAGAATACAATTGCATGAGTTGCTTCCCTAATTAAATAGAGAATCCATGTTGGATGTTAGTGTGATTTGTTCATTATCTTGATAGTACTGTAGTCTGTTACATCCAATACCACCTGTTCTGGATGTTGGCATTATGCCACAGGCAACTTACAGCCTGCCATGCCGGAACAATGTGGAGTTCTTCCCATAAGACTCAACTTGAAACAATTATTCTGGGGTTCCCAAAGGAATGAGAATTACTGCATAAGGAAATCTGCAGAGTTACAAGGAACTACAAAAGTAAAAAGAGGCAGGGCAAGTGTTTTCTGCTTCAGATAGAAGCTGACCAGCTTGCGGGAGGTGGGGAAGGTAGGACTGCGGGAACTTGTGTTACTAAATCCTTCCTAGTGTTGTTACAAAAAGGGAACAGAAAGGAGAAAGTGTTTCCTTTATTGCTCTTTTATGCCTCCTTCCTTTCGCCCTCAGAACTAGCAGCTAATGGTCGCAGACAAGGCAAACATTTTAATACAATCAGCCACTTTCCTAGATAAACAAAATCTTTTAATCAAATTTCCCTGGGGCCCCCAGGAGTCTCATTAACAAGCTCTCCCAGCAGGGTGGAAATAATGCTATTCAATTTAGAAGAAGCACAAAGAATTGTTTCTATGAGGGCTCTTAGAAAAAAGTTGGAATAAGGGATTTGACAGTGTGACCAAGGAACAGGTGCTTGTTTCCATGACTGAGCTCCCATGGCTGCACCTTTGCAGAAGAGGAAGCACGGAGCCAAACTCTAGAACTTTTTTTTTTTCTCTTGAGTTTTATTTATTTTTGTTGGAAAGGCAGATTTAAAGAGAGAGAGAGAGAGAATCTTCCATTTCATAATTCACTCCCCAAGTGGTCACAATGGCCAGAGCTGAGCTGGAACTTCTTTCAGGCCTTTCATGAAAATGTAGCATCCCAAACACTTAGGCCATCTTCCAGTGCTCTCCCAGGCCAAAGGCTGGATGAGAGAGAAGCTGGTAGGTCTCAGCAATCATTGGCATGCACAAGATCTGTGGCTGGGAGCAAGCTTGGTCAGGGAGCTCAGGGGATGCCCCCGGCTGGGCTGCAGTTTCCTCTAATGAGTGTGACAGCTGGAATATGGGTGGTGAACTGGCATGGGTGCAGCATCCCTCAAACTGGGTGTGGATTGGGTCTGGGGTGTGCCATACTGGGCTAGGTTCCAGCATCCGTTGGTGCTTACAAGAACTAGGGTAGGTATAGGACAGGCTAGGCTAGGTCTCTGAACTCTGAACCACGTGAGAGCTGGATACAGGGGTGGATCAGGCATGGCTGAACGGTAGCACCCAGTAATAAAAACTGGAATGGGAATGGGCTGGTCGGGCAAGACTGCTGTTCCTGCCAGGACAGGAGGTTGACTAAGTCACGCTGGGCCAAGGACCCACTGGTGGGTCCAAGATCTGCCACAGGGAGGTGATCTGATAGAGGAACTTGGGAAACTCCTCTGTCAGGATGTAGTCCCTGCAGGTGAGTGCAAGAACCAAAGCTTGAAGCAGCCCAGATCAGGCAGGTTACAGTATCTGCTAGCATATGTGTGGGTCAGGTCTGGGGGCGGGCCAGGCTGGGCCAGTTAATATCACCCACTGGCAGATCTGAGAACCAGGACAGAGTGCAGCCCGGGTCGGGTTGGGCCACAACACAGGCCAGTTCACATTAGAGTGGGACTGAGGCCAGGCTGTAGTGCCTACTGGTTGATGCCAAGGTGAAATGAGCCATGCCAGTCTGGGCAGGAGCTCCCACCAGCACATTTAAGATCCAGGAGTAGGGACTAGTCTAGCAGGGGAGCTGTTCCTGCTGGTGAGCATGAGAGCTGGGATTGGAGGCAGATCAGGCTGGGCAGGGCTACAAAGCCTGTATGTGACCTGTATGTGAACTGGGATAGCAGGGGAGGGCCAGGCTGGGCTAAGCGACCATGAGCCAGAGTAAATGCAGGTTGGTTGGGCTTTATCGCAGCATCAGCTGGCAAGTGCTGGGACCAGGGGCAAGTGCTATCAGACTAGACCATAGAACCACCTGGAAAGTGCAAGAATCAAGGCTTGGAGTAGGCTCAGGAGGGAAACTGTGGGTACGCCTTTGATGGGCTTCAGCCCCCCACTGGTAATTATGATAATCAGGTCTGGAGGTGCACCTGACCACATAGGTGGTGGCACCTGCTGGCATGAGTGTGGGCTAGAGAGTGGGGTCAGGCTTTAATACCCATTGAAATGTACAAGAGCTGAATGGCATATGGGACAGACAGGACCAGTCTGCTACACATACCAGCATTCACAGGAACCAGGGCTCGGGGCAGACCTCGTAGGAGTTATTGGGGGTTGCTCCAACTAGACTGCAGCTCCCACCGGTGTGTATGAGGGCTAGTGTGTGGTGGGCAGGGTTAGTCTGGGCCGCAGCATCCATTGGTTTGCATATGAGATGGAGCTGGGGACAGAACTGACCAGGTGACTGCAACCACCAGTGTATGTATGTGGTAATGTTGGTGTGTGGTATGTGTGGGTGATGGGCCGAGCCAGACCCTGCACTGGCTGGAACACACAGGTATCAGGTCTGGGGTCACCTCTGGTGAGGTTTCTTTGGGGACCCTCCCCCCAACTGGATCACTGGACTCAGCACTCCAACCATGGTGAAAATCACAGGATATATCGTCTGGCATGTGTCAGAACTGGGTCTCCACTGTTGCTGAGGGCGGTGTGGTGGACAACATGCCCAGATGCTATGGGGCGGGGGGGGGGAATGACAGCCAGTTCGTTGAGGCCTGCAGAGGAGATCCAACGCCACGGAGGGCAGAACAAATTGGACAGCTCTCCCGGAGGAATTCTCCTGGGGGAATTGAGACTCTGAGGTGGACTATATCAACCAGTGGACCTTGGAAGGATTTCCTCAACTTTGGAGCAATGAAATTAACAGCATCTCAGAATTATCAAAACAACTTAAGCAGTATCCTCAGAACATGCTCCACCTCAGGGACCCTGGGATGACACTGGGTGGCCTTTCCCTATTCCTGGTACTGATGTGGTTGGGTTATTGGAAGCAGTCCTCTCCTCCTTCTCTCTCCACTTTCCCCAAATTCCAGAAGAAAAAAGGAGACTGGGGAGTAGTTATCTCATCCACTGTCTCCCATTCCTCCACCTTCTCCACCCTAATTGGTGGTCCACATGGGCATGCATCCCTGTCAACTCTGTAAACATCATCAAAAATAAAATGAATTTATTATTATTTTTTAAAAAGTGGAGCAGCTGGGACACAAACTGGCATGCCTATGGGATACTGGCACTTGCAGGCTGTGAATCAGCCAGTTGAGTCATCGTGGCTGGCCCTCTAGAATTTTCTTATCATTCCTGTGTCAATCAGCAGCCAAACTGTTACTTATTGACTATTTACTGTGTTCCCACACTGTTATATACACCTGAGGTTTGTTTACTCCTCACATAGACCTTATGAGGAATTCTTATCTCTATTTAGGAAGAAGGTAAATGGGCAGGACACTTGCTAGCAGCAGAGCAGTTGAAAGTAAAAGCCAAAGCTTTGCCTAATAACAACACTGCAGTACTGGCCCCGGGCACGATTTGCTTCCAGAGAGACTGGTGCTGCACCACCTAAAATGGCTTCCCTCACAGTACATCGCTTAAAAACTCAGCGGAGGACTCCAGCTGCCTTTATTCTCCCACTGAAGAAACCCATGTACAGTCATGATTAGTGAGGTGCCACCATCTCCCACTACCAGTAGGTGGCA